AACATTCAAAGAGAGACGAGTATGTCTGTATCTGAGAATCTCTGAGTTCTAGGCAGGGAGCAATTGCCAGGGATAAATGATGATGAAAATAATTATCTTTTCTTTTAAGCCAGGCACTATGTAAACACTCTACATATATTATTCATTTAATTCTCAGTGACCCTCTGATGTAAGTCCTGTTATCTTTTCCATTTTACAGATGAGAAAATGGAGGCATAGGGAAGTTAAATAATTTGTCTAAAGTCACACAATTAACTAAACAGTAGACCAAGGATTATGATGAAAGCCACATGGTAGTCCTGAGAGAGAAATCCTATGATTGCTTTGTTTTGATGAGACCACTGGGGTTCAGGGAAGTGTGGAACTTTGCCCAGGCTTATCTTACCTCCAGCTCAAGCTCTTGTCCAGTATAGCCTACTGCTCTCTTACAGCATATTCTCAGTTCTACCTCTTGGAGGTCCTGGATTCTGTTTCATTAAATAAATATTTAAAAAACAAATAATTTTAAAAAACTACCCACTAGATTCTGAGTCCTGTGCCATGTGCTGGGTATGCAGAGATGATTTTTGTTATTTCATATCCTCATATAGATGTGTCAGATCCTGTTGGCTAATTTAATGCATTTTTCTTTTGGGGGAACTTAGAGGTACCTTTGGTATCCAGCACTGTGCTGGTCACCTGGAAGCCTCTCAATACCTGAATATCTACTGGTTGGTAAAGGATGACACAGGTAAATCATTGAATAAACAATTTTGTTCTACAGATGTGTGTGTTTGGTTCAGTTAATGTTCAGTGATGGGCTAATGTCCCACATAAGCCTGATTCATGAACCTAAACACAACTTGGAATAGGATGTCACTTTTGGTTTTATGACCATCACTTTCCTGATGGAGCAGGTAGGCTAAAAAGTTCAATACTCCAGGGTTGAGCTCTTAGGGTTGGCTTTTGAAAAGCTACCATTATATTAGAAAAATCATGAAGTCAGGACCCATGAGTTATAGTTCTAGCTCTCACAACTATTATAACTGTGAGTATCATCATGTCTTCTGATATCTCAGTTTTCTCACATACACAATAAGAAAGTTAGAGTAAATGATGGTTAAGGTCACTGATAAAGTTCTATCATTCATGGAAATAACATACCATAATGAGTCCTTTTGCCCAATGTAGGGTAGGTATTAGTTTAGTTTTGACTGTAGATAAATATCTGAATTTTGTTGAGTCTTAGTTTTCTTGCCTTTTAAGTAGGTTGAGAATGGCTGGCATGCCTGATTTATAGGACTTATGAGGGTTCAGTATAAAGCTGGGGGTATAATGGCTCTGAGAGGTTTAACACACTGTATGACCGTAAGATGATATCAGTCATATTGGAAATTAACAGAAAGGTGTTGGGTTGCTCCTACCCTCCATTATCCCCCTAAAAGACGGGAGCTTGGTCCTGGGTGGGCTGTTTCCTGGAGCCCATGGAAACACTCGGGCCTCTACAGGGTCACTAAGGGCTTTGTCCTGCTGTCCCAGGGGTGGGGTAAGGCTGCCACGCTCTTTCTCCTGACAATTTATCAGACACCCCCACCGCACAAAATGTGGTAATTCATTAGACAAAAGTGAGGCTTTGAGTTCCAATCACCTCTGCTTTGTTAAAAGCCCCCTCAGAATCAGATCTTCTCTGTAGGCCAGCAGATGAGCACGTGTCCCCGGGCTTACAAATGCCTTAAAAGCAGCCTGATAAATCATCCCCCAAATCTGTGAGCCACATCTAACTCTGTCTCTCAGTGGGGGGGATATTTTTAACTCCGACTTCTAGCTCCTCTCAGCTCCTTTAAGAAAGTGTGATCCGAAAGGGTCAGACGTTTGGCATTTACTTAGGGGAAAGCTTGAAACAACCCCTGAGGCCCCCTGAGGCAGGGCTGGCTTTCCCCAAAGAACGGGCCCTTCAGAGCGTCTGTGCCACACATAAGGACTGGTGTGAGGCCCCAGGCCCCTGTGGATGCTGTCTCTTCCCCACGACAGATGGTCAAGCCTTCAATTTCAGCAAGCAGTCCGCTGTCGGGAGGGTGGGCAGGAAATTCTGCCAGCACACCAAGTGCCAGGGCAGCTTAGGGTAACAGGGATCCAGTGTGTGCCCGGCATAACTTTTGTGCTAACGACAGGCTGGTGACAGGTACCTCGTCCCTGCTCATCGCTGAGACAGAAGATCCCCTGCTCCCTTGATTCTGTTTCTCCCTGGCAGAGCTTGTGTCCTGTTTGCCTGTCTTTCAAAATCCATTTTGGCACCAGATGGACGCCCTCATGGTGGCTAGCAGTTGTCTGACTTGCAGATGCCAGAGGGTATGCTGACAGCTCCTTCTAACACAACCTGAATCTGGCTGTTGAATCTGGGCTCAAATGGCTTAAAAACACACACAGGCTGCCGCCTGTATTATCAATATCAGCAACCCTGGGGAGCAGGGAGGGGGAAGGAGGGCAGCCGCTCCCCTTCCACTCTGCCCACGCGGCCCATGTGGAGACAGTGGCACTAACATTACTCTTGCCGTATGATTACTCTCATTTACTCTTACCCGTACAGTTGCCTCTTGGTTCAGTTGCTGGTACAGTTGGTGTTCACATCAGTCCTGCAAGACTTCTATTCTCACTAAATGCACTATAGCATAATGAAAAAAAGGCACAGACCCTGAGTTTGAGTTCTAGGTTCACATTTGCTAAACTTTGAGAAAGTTTTTTAATTTTCTGAACTTCAGTTTCCTCATCTGCAAAATGAGATTAATAGCAGAGGGTTTTTAGGGGGATTAAGTGGGACAAGGCATCTGAATTCCTTAGCACTTTGCTGAGCACGAGCTAAGTGTCTCATTTATGGAAGCCATTACTATGGGTGCAGCCCTGTCACCATGCCGACCCTGTGCCAGGCACTGTACCTCACCGCAGCTACTTTTTCCAATGGCCTTTTAAGGTAGTGACTGTTACACTCAGTTTATAGAGAAGGAGAGCATGCTGTGGAGTTCAGCTACTTACCCAAATTCCCACAAGCAGTACCTGTCAGAACTAGGATGTGATCTGCATTCTGGGTACTGCTAAAGGCTGCAGCTTTTCCACCATCCCACACTAGCCCTCAGTGTCAACTCAGTGGTGATCAGTCCTCGCCTGGGTGTTGGAGGGGGAGTTTTAAGTATGCCTTTCCAACTAGCTGTGCTTGGAAAGGGCAGCCAGTTTTCACATTCCAGGTGTCTTTGGATGTAGGCTTGACTCCCAGTGAGATGGCCGGTTCTGAACCTGAGGTCCACCACGTTAAACCGTTTCTGAAAGCCATGCATGATCACAAAGGCCCCTGAGCACTTGCCTTCTCCAAGCACCTAGGCAAGGAATGATGTGAAGGCACTTAGTACTGTGTCCACCCCCTCAAACCCCTGTCCTTCCCCAAGTCAGAACGGCCGGTTGCCCAAGGGAGTGGCAGTGTTGGCGCTGGGGAAGGGGCATTAGAGCCAGATTTTGTTTTACAGCTGGGCTTCAGTGGTGTGCCATAAGTCATTTATCCTGTATGAAAGGCTGACAAACTTTGGCTTCTGTGGAGAGAACCAGGAAGTGGGGCCGAATGACTACTCAGAGGGCCCGCTTTCATCGATGGGCAGCTGAATATGGCATGATGCTGAAGGAGCCATTGCGGGCTGATGTCTACCTTTCAAAATGTTATTCCTTGCAGCCAACAGATTGTGTCTCCAAAGAGTTATGCCCATGCCATACTCCCCTCTTGGCAAATTTTAAGAGATCAGGGAAGAGAGATTCTTCTGAGACTTCTCTCAGTTTAGTATTCAGAACTTGCTTCTACTTGGCCCGTCTTTGTGCTGTGTTCCCAGTACAGAGGACCCTAGTGTTATTTGGTTGATAGACTTGGTGTTCAGAGCTACATTCAGAATGCAGCATCATAAATTATGTGCATCAAGGTAGGAATAGTACTCCAGTGTAGATTTAAAGTGGGAGAAAGGTGAAGAAAAAAAAATTTCTGCAAGAATTTAACTGGCATTTTAATGCATTCTGATATTTTTGGGAGATATTTGGGCTGAAATTCTCAGGCCTGAAAAGTCGAAGGGAATGAAGAACTTCAGGTGGTTTTTAAAATGCTTCTTTTCCCAAACATCCCCAATTCATATATGCCCTGATGGGACACCTCTGCTGCCTGCTTCCTTTCCACGATGGACTTTAGCCATTGTGACATAAGAAATAACTCAGGAAGTTATAGGGTGACCATCCAGTTTGTCATCCATAACAGGATACTTTTGAGAGTTAAAGTGGATACTATTAAAGCTTACACTAACACAGCTGGTGTAAATTGAGATTGTTCCTGGCAAACTGGGACCTTTAGTCACCCCAACAAGTAACACCCATAGATGTCACTCTAAAACTGATTCAGGGACCAAGGGTGCAGTGAGGCAGTGCGGTTCTTACTCAATAACAAATAGATTTTGTCTACAGTAGGCAGTATAAGAAAAACATAAAGAAAATATTTGAGAAGTCAGAAGACTTCAGTCAGCATGTGAATCTTGCCTACTTCTCATGAGTACTACTAAGTGGGGTATTTTATTTGGAGATGCTATGAAAAAAAGTGTTTGCCATCTCTTTATTCATCCAGCATGTATTTCACTTGTTCATCATCTATGAATTTATGGGGCTTAAATTACACGTTGCTGGGGACCATGAGTAATTCTCAGGCAATTATACCAAATTGGAACCTCGCTTGTGAAGACTTTCCCTCTGTCTGACTGAAAATACTTCCTTGGGGGCTTAATTCTTTTGTGAGATCTGTTGGCAGCACTGAGAGCATTCCCTTCATATAAAAAGGTCCAGCTTGGATGCAAAACAAAAACTAAAGCTTTAAATAAAATACTGGCTCTAACACCAGACTGAAAATTTCAGAAAACACGCAGAGAACAACCCGGAAGCGACTTACTACTTTCTTCCCTTCTGTGTCAGAACTTAAATGCTAACCATGATAATTTGTTTCTTCACAGGTTCTTCTTGAAGTTTTTCCTCAAATGTAACCAAAATTGCCTAAAGAATGCAGGAAACCCACGTGACATGCGGAGATTCCAGGTGGGTCTGTCTCGTCTTTCTTAAATCCTCATAATAACATGAATGTCAGGAGAGGGTAACAAGGCCAGGCAGAAGATAAAGAGTAAGAGCTGTTTCCCCAGAGATGAAGAGCAGGTGAGGCTCTTGGTCCCCCAGGTCTCTGCAGTCTAGGAGTTGTTGTTTTCATCATGAGAAATGGGAATAACCCACCTGTGTTCATGGCTGAGGCCATGGCACCCTTCGCGCCCAGTTAGGCTTCCTGAAGGGACTTTCAGGCTTACACCACTGCAGGTGAGATAAGTACATACAGATTATTAATTCTTTGCCTGAAGTTTTACAAGTAGGCAACTGTTAAATAGGAGCCTTGTTCTTGTTTTAGAATTATGCCCCCTTCCTCCTTCCTTTCTTTCTGGTATCCTCTTCCAATCTTAGAAATCGTTAGCAGTAATTATCTACAAAAAACGGCCCCCTGAACAAGCAGAGCATATCTAGAGTGATATGTGTGACTTTTCTGTTTCAGAAATGTTCTTGTACAGCACAGGTAAATGTTCTCAAGCGTCAGTCAGATTTGCTACGGTTTAAAGCATGAGTAGTATGTTAACCATTCATAACTACACATTTACTAAAGGATGAAGCTGAGAAAACAGATGTGTTAACTTCCAAGACACAGAAGGGTAGTTGGGTTTCAGGAAAGGTTGCTAAGTTCTAGATAAGGTGCTTCTGAAACTTAAGTGTTGAAAATCCCCGGGGGATCTTGTTAAAATGCTAATTGAGGTGTGAGGTGGGTCTGCAACTCTACGTTTCTAATGAGCTCCCAAGTGATACCAGTACCAGGGACCACACTTTGAACGGCAAGGTCCTAGACCCTTGTCGTGTGCTGCTCTCCAGTTAATTTTATGGCTAATTCATTTGCATGGTCAGCATTAGCTTCCCTATCAGAGGAACGACTCATATATGTCTGCCCATATGGTCTGTCAATGAAAATAGCATGGTGTTTACATTCTTTAAGCTCTTAGGTATAGTTAGTCAGTTGTAAGTGTGAATTGAAATGTATAATCTCTGAGAGGATCTTTAAACATTTTAGCTGCATATTCTCTGGTGGGAAAAAACAGAAGGGATGATTCCGAATGTTGAGTTTTGGATGTAAAGATCTCTTAGTCTCCAAGGTGATTTTTTGAAGAAGTAAGATAGTCTCATGAAAGAACAAATTCAGTAGAAAGAAGACATTCTTTCCTCAGAGTCTGGAGTATTTCTGTAAAATCATTCTGGCATTGTCACCTTTTGTCTTGGCAGAAGTGAGGGGAGAGAATTCCTGGATTCCTGGTTTTATGGAAAATGTTTCTCCGAGTTGGCAGACTTGGGTGCTCTCATTCCCATGTGGGACTTGTTCTGTCTTTTTTGGGGGTCAGCTTTGCTGGTGAAACAGCACATGTGATATGCCATTAAGTCCAACATAAGGTTGAGTTTCTGCATGACCTGATTTCTAGCTTGCTGTGGCCTCGAGATGAGCCATGTATCTCCTTTGACCAAGCTTGGATTAGGAACAAGGCATATCCAGGCATGAACCAATCATGTCTAATAAACATGTCTAGTAGGCAGGCGTAATGCCTTATGAATACAAGGATCAGCTTTGCTTCTCAGGGTAGCAAAATTAGAGATGGGCTTTGGTGGCATTGAGAAACTAAAAGAGTATTTGTACAAGAATTCTGGGACCTAATTTTCCTCATAGACCTGCTACTGAAATGTCTAAAAGCCTTGAATTGTAGGGCTGTAGCTTTTATATGAGATGAGAAACCAACTCAGTCTGTTATTTTTGATTATCTAGAAAACTGTATATTTGCAGACAAAATAGTAGTTCATTGTTTAGTAATAGGGCTACTGAGATGAAGAGGTACAATTTAGATTTCTGGAAAGCCTCAGTTTCCTCAGCTGAAGAAAAATGGAGTCAAATGATGATTCTGCTTATTTCACAACATATGAAACATTTTGTATGCATACCTAATTTGCAAATGATAAATATAAATGTAAGCCTTTGGAGAAAATACTTTTATAATAAACTAAAACTGGGTCATTATTAGTTCAGTTCAGTGTGCCCCTCAACTTGGGCACATTTGACGTTTTAGACTGGGTAATCCTTTATTGGGGGGGTGTTGGGGAGATTTGTCCTGTGCATTGTATGACATTAGGCAGTTGTCACTGACCTCCACCCATCGATGCCAGTGGAGAAGCCACCACCCCAACCCTGAACATAATGACCCCAAATGCCGCCGGATATTGTCAAATGTTCCCTAGTTAGGATGGGGATGGGAAATTGCCGTTGGTTGAGAATCAATGGGTCAGGCCTATCCCTGAGGATCTCTAATAGACTTCTTAGTGACAGTGCCACTGTCCCAAAGAATGCACTGTTTGATTAGGCATGAGAGCTTCCTAGCATGAGGTCCATACTCTCCTTCAAATGTGTGTGATTTATCTGAACCCTGACAATCCTCTTTCCTATGATTTCTCCAAATGGTTCTAAAGTAAGTGGGCCTCTCTTGGGTCTTGCCCCCCTCAGGGGCAGCTACCTTGTTTTTTGGTTGAAGAGTTATATCTCTATCAACAATGACAAATTCCTTCCTGGAGCTCAGATGTAACCTGATTTGTTCCCATCACCCACTTGTTACTTCCTGGGAGAGGATAGAAGGAGCCTATGGCAGAATGAACACTCATTCATTTTGTTTTGTATTTGTGTACATTTGTACATTTCACTAATTATCACTTTTATACAGTTAACACATGGTCTTATGCATGTAGGCATGTGGATGTTTATGCAATCAGAGAATGGATGAATTACCTCAGTAGACTTTCAGTAAAACCTCAAATATCCCTTACTCAACTTTTCAATTTTTCTCTTCAGTCTTGTTTCTTTCATGATGCTTTCCTCCTGTTTCTCTGTATCATTTCACATTGGTAGCCACACCATCATTCTTGAATCCATCCTTTTCTTGGATTCCATGATGGTACTCACGCCCTCTCAGACTCTACCAAGGGATGCTCATCGTCTGCTCTCCTGTAAATATTGGTGTTCCCTAAGTTTCCTTTTCCAACCCAGATATTTTTATTTTGTTTTATAGGCTATCCTGAGCATCTTCTTCTCCCCCAGCATCTTAACCACTATTTGGGCATTGAGAACTCATGCGTTAGGCTCCCTGAGACCTGATGTGCAGAGTCAGACCTAACCATCCAGCTGCCTGTTGGATATTTCCAGGAACTTCAGCTTAGTGAGCTCTGAACTGCATTGTCCTCCTCATTTTCTGTTGCCTTTACCTCCAGCTGGCTTCTCTTTCTGGGTTCCCTGTCTTGGTTCATTCCTAAGTGCATTAAGTGCTGGGGATATGAATGTCTTCATTTGTCTCTATAGTCAGTATGTTCCATATATCATGTGTATAAACATGCATGTGCATGTGTATACCTGGGTGTACATCTCAGGACATCGGCCATAGTGATGATGATAAAGCTAACACTTATTGAGAACTTATTATGTACCGAGTATTGTTCTAAGTATTTTACACGAGTTATATTTTCTTCATAATGTCCCTGTTAAGAATGTGCAGATACGGATTATTCCCATTTTTACCAATGAGGAAATGGAGGCTTAGAGAAGTTAAGCAATTTGCTCAAAGTCACACGTCTACTAAGTAGTATGGTGGTGATTCAGCCCAGTCAGCCTGACTCAAATGTTATCTGATGCTGTGGAACAGTCAGAAAGTTGTGAGAGTCTGTAGGCAGATTCCCAGCAAGGCAATAAGAAGGTCTCTCCACATCCAAGAGCCACAGTGGCTTCCTACAAATTTGTGTTGGAAACTCAGCAAAGCGAAGGACGGGTTTTCAACAGAGGGGTCCTGCCCTAATGGAGCCTAAACCATCTGCATGAATGGCCCTGGAACACCACAAGAAGCCCTCAAACAGAGGGCGGAGTGAGTGGAGTTTGGTAGAAGAGGGAGAACTTGAGCTTTGTTTCTGAACAGAGTTCCGGGCTCAGTCAGTTTTTAGTTGTATGGACCTTAGAAGAATAAGCTATGATTCAGAAGCCTCCTTGAGCTTCCTCAAACCTATGCACATTTCTGGGTGGTTTGCCAGGGCAAGAAAGACCCTTCCCCTAGATGGAGTCTGAATAAAGTGGCCCCTGACATCTCAGAGCACCCTGAGAAAAAAATCATTCCAAATCTTAGGACTGGAACCAAGATAGGGAAGATTTATTTTCCCTGCAGCTGTCCTGGCTGACGGAGATGTGTCACAGAGACACTGGTTGAAGGTTTCCTATGAATGAGACGCATGATTTCCATCATTTTTTCTCATGGTACTAATTGGGAAGCTGGTTTTAAATATTTTTATGTCACTGTTGCCTCTGAGGGGAAGTGAGAAACTATCTTTTTGGGTGAGAAAACTCCAGTCTCCTCTTTCCATCTCAATATGGCTTTTCTGAGTTATAATGAAAATCCGAGAGTTGGAGACATCCGGTGACGATGTGCTGTCCTGCCTGCTAAGAGGCTTTTCTCCAGCTGTCATGGCTGCTGCTTCTCTCTCAGCCCATTTTGTATGCTTACCAGGCCAGCCTGATCTTCGTACACCGTGCCAGAGCATGTCTTCTCTGAACAGCAATCAGGGGCCAATGTAGGTGACTGAGGAGGACATAAGAAAGGTTGTTGATCTCTCGACATGTAAAGACATTCTGTCAAGCAAACTCAGCCTCGCAGTGGCTGAGCTTCTGGTGTGTAAACAGAGACTGCTTAATTACACAGGTCATGTCAATTAGTGTGACCTTAGTGTTTTCAAGAAATTAATCACTTTCCACAGAGCTTGGCTGTGTTCATACTTCAAGGCATTATGGAATAAGCCTTGTAGAAAATCTGGTACAATCATTTTTTAAAAATTTACAATGGATGTTTTCTTCTGAGATCCCCAGGCTGTGGTTAACATAACAAACTTGCTTAAATACAACAGTGGATACAGGATTCATTCAGTTCTGGTGGGGGTGGGAA